AAGCAGCCAGGGGATGGAACAGAAGAAGCAGAACTGCCTGCTTGTAGCTGGAACATCATCTGATGGCCAGGAAATGATGCAGGGAGGAGAAGCAGCCAGAGAGGAACTCAGAGAGCAGAGCTGCCTGCCTGCAGCTGGGATGCTGTCCTGCAGCCAAGAAATAATGAAAGGAGCAGCAGCAGCCAGGGGTGGAACATGAGGAGCAGAACTGCCTGCTTGTGGCTGGAACATCATCTGATGGCCAAGAAACAGCATAGGGAGCACAAGCAGCCAGGAGAGAAGACACACGAGGAGCAGAACTGCCTGCTTATGGCTGGAACTCATCCTATGGCAAAGAAATGATGCAGGGAGCAGCAGCAGCCAGGGAAGACGACACAGGAGGAGCAGAGCTGCCTGTTTGGGATGCTGTCCTGCAGCCAAGAACAAATGCAAGGAGCAGCAGCAGCCAGGGAAGAGGAACCTGAGGAGCAGAACTGCCTGCTTGTAACTGGAGCATCATCTGACGGCCAGGAAACAACACAGGGAGCAGCAGCAGCCAGGGGAGAAGAAACACAGGAGCCAAACTGCCTGCTGGTGGCTGGGTTTTGTCCTGCAGATGAGAAATAACACAGGGAGCAAAGCAGCTGGGAGGGGAAACACCAGCAGGAGGAGAAAGAGCCAAGGGAGGAAGAGGATGAGGAGTGGATGAACGTGGGACGTCATCCCACAGCAAAGAAACCACGGCAGGAAGGGAAGGAGGTGAGGAGAGCTGGACTGAGGAGGGGAAGTGGAAGAGGAAATGGCCTGGAGGAGGGGAAGGAGATGAGGGAAGCTGTCTTAGGAATGGAAGTGGATGAGATCTGCTCTGAGGAGGGGAAGGGGATGAGGAAATCCACCTCGAGGAGGGGAAGGGGACAAAAAGATCCACCTTAAGGAGGGGAAGGGGATGAGATCCAGCCTGAGGAGGGGAAATGGATGAGGAGTTTCCCCCTTGAGGAAGGGAAGAGGGTGAGGAAATTGCCTGGGGAAGGGAAGCAGATGAGGACATTGACCTCAAGGAGGGGAAGGGGATGAGGAAATCCATCCTGAGGAAGGGAAGAGGAGAAGAGGGGAAGCAGATGAGGAAATTCCCCTTGAGGAAGGGAAGAGGGTGAGGAAATTGCCTGGAGGAGGGGAAGAGGATCAGGAAATCACCCCA